ATGTACCTAGAAATTATGAATTTTATCAGTAAGAACAACAACTTTGATAGTGGCTAAAATTTCTGTGATGATGAATGGAGAAATAAAACAGCTTTAATGTCAAAGGTTAAGATAACAATAAGGAACATTTCTTTAATTTTATTTTCTTAAAAAAAAGTTTATATATATATATATATATATATATATATATATATATATATATATATATATATATATATATATATATATATATATATATATATATATATATATATATATATACAGGGTTTTTACTGATTTAAGGACCGTTGTAGAGGTCAAACTTGAAAGGCCTCTTCAGGTATATAAGGGTGTGGACTAATCCCTATACTTATATTGTAAAACTATAGCTTTAACTAAAGTAAATGTGTGCTCATCCCTGCTTATTACTGCAAGAGTGTGTGCATGGTCATTCCTGCTCTGGATTTTGCATCTCTAAGCAATATTCTAGTGTCTGGACATCCCTGCTTGTTGCTGCAATTGTGCAAGATCTGCAGGTGTAAGAAGTTCCCAGTCTGTAGGGGTAAGAAGTTCCCAGTCTGTATAATCTTGTGACAGAGCAGTCTGGTATGCAGACATGCTTGCCAGTGTCTCCAATTTAGAACTGATTAATTGGTGACAGGTGTGTGGTCAACCCTGATTGTTGCTGCGCAAGGGAATTAAAGTGTGCGGACATCCCTTCATGCACCAGATGCTTGTACGTACGTCCTTTGTGGATTCATAGTGCACTGGTGTGAGGACTTCCTTACCAGTGTATTTGAACAGTATGTGCTACCATTCAACAATCCTATATCCTATATATGCACAGTACCTAGTCATTGTAAATTATTATAAGCAGCATGCAGCTCTAGGCTATCTGTTTCTACTATTGGTACGAGCGCATGGGAGTTCACAGGTATATATAGTGACCCCCCCCCCCTTGGATGTTACAGTATAAACAAACAAAGCATTTTGTTTAATTATCTTTAAACTGCATGTTACTCGCATTTCCATAGCACAGTCTCAAAGTACATATTTCTAACAAAGAACAATTTTGTCTACTATCTCATCTATCTTTGACCAATTTCCATATCAAAGCAAAGTGACTTTTTATTTCTGAAATTTTGTTTGGTCAATGCGAGGATATAAATCACATTATATATATATAGGGGGACGAATTATCCCAGTTCGAAATTTTTCTTATTCATTTCGATCTATTTGGGTCAATAGACATGCCATTATTTACTAAAACTTTCACGCGCGCATGCGTGACCGGAAAAAGGAAAACATGTCTTCAAAGAGCACTTTCGCACAATTTTTCTCCCGGGACAAAGTGAGTAATAAATACTGGAATACAAATGTTTAAAGGAAATTTTTTTACTGAGGTTAAATATTTTTCACTTTTGGAAAATAAACAGTTCACTCGTACTTTGAAATAACTTTGAAAGTTCTGTGAAGTGGTTTGTTTACATTCAAGTTTTTAACTTTCACTTCATTCCATCAAAGTCTTTCGTCACAAAAATAATTTCTTTGTTGTTTAATTAAAATTTGAGTTTTTCTGAGCGATTTACTAAATTTCTTCCCACCTATCTGTGCATTGAATTAATGATATTAAAATAGGTCATGTTTATTCGTTGTGATCTGCTTTAAATAGATCACTGCTGTGACTTCAAGTACAATATAATCCACGATTTAATGTTTTTTGTCTTATCTTATAGAAATGCTTATCTTGGTTATGCATGCTATCATATTGATAATTTATATACAGGCATATAGCATCTTCTCAGATATATATTAGTCCTCTTTAGAATGGCAGAAGTGAAACTTAGATTTTAGGTCCAGCAAATCACTATATTAGTTAGAATGTAGTTATTGTGCTTACTAGGGGTGTCACAGTATGCTGATATATCAGTAAACCATGATACATAAAAAATGTACACTATCATGGTACAAAAAATATACCTGTGTATCATGATATAAAACATTTTAAGCAATTTATCTTTGCTGAAAAATGTAAACAAAAAACATTTTCCATTCTTATTTTTTCACAGGTTGTTCTTTTCTCAGTTTTAAAATGAGAAGCAAATCCAGTTTAGATATTTTAATGTGTTGTAGTCAATACCTATAATAATACAAGAACATTTTTTCACCACTGGCCCGTAGGACCTGCCATTAATCAATGAAAACCACAGGCTTTCTGGGAACTTAGCCTGACCCCCTTTTAGCTCACCTCAACCGAAGGCTCAAGTGAGCTCTGATTAAAATTTGGTTGTTATCTTTTGTCATTGTCGTCGTCATCATTAACTTTTCACATTTTCATCTTCTTCTCCAGATCCTCTTGAGTTGACCAATTTTATCCAAACTTACCTCAAAGCATCCTTGGATGAAGGGGATTCAAGTTTGTTCAAATATGAAGGACCATGCCCTCTTTCAAGGGGAGATAATTAAGAATTAGAGAAAATTAAATGACATCTTTCAAAATCTCAAAAACCACGAGGCCAGAAAAGTTGAAGCTTACATGAAAGCTTCATTACATAGTGTACATTCAAATTTGTTCAGGTCATGACCCCCTGGGGGTAGGATGGGCCCACAACAGGGGATCAAAGTTATACACAGAAACGTAAAAAAAAAAATCTTTAAAAATCTTCTTCTCATGAACAGCAAAGCCATGATTAGTAATATCTATACAGAAGCATCCTCAGGTAGTGTAAGTTCAATTTTGTTCAAATCATGACCCTTTGGGGTAGAGTGGGGTCACAACAGGGGATCAAAGTTATGCATAGGAATACATAGGAAAATATCATAAAAAATCTTCTGATGATCAGCAAAGCCATGATTAGTATATTAATATTGAAGCATCCTCATGTAGTGTATATTCAAATTTGTCAAATCATGACCCCTATTGTTAGGATATGGCCACATTAGACAATCAAAAGTTTTATATTGGTAATATATAGGAAAAAATATTTAGAAATCTTCTTCTCAAGAACAGCAAAACCATGATAAGTCATATTGATATGGAAGCAAGTTTGTTTAAATCATAAGTTAGGGTTAGGGTGGGATTACTTAATATATATTTAAACTCTTTAGTACTGAACTGAGTATTGCTTATCTCTAAACAAAGTGCTCAGGTGAACAATGTGGCCCGTGGGTCTCTTGTTTTCTATATGTACATTTACAAAATATCAGCAGAAGTATTCTTTGTAATCAGTAATGATTTAATTGATATTCAGCTTTCTTAAAACAATGTATGTTTATTAGTCCAAACTTCTTGTGTCTTTCTAATGAGAATGTAAATTAGTGAGTCATCTAGTGTGAAGGAAAGTATTACATGTATCATCCTACATTCATGAGTGCTGTTTTGAGAGAAAAAAAAATTACAGACCTGTCAAACTTATCTGATTTTCAATTTGTCTAACTGGTCCCCACTCACAGCTGATTTTACTGACCCCAGACCTGTAGGTTTTGGTAAAGATTGACATTGCCCAATTTAAACCATGCAGAAGTATCCTCATTTGAGTGTATAGTGTTCATAAAACCCACCTACCCTTACTTTTGAAATGACAATCAAAGCAGACATACAGAGCATTAAAAATGGGTAATAATATTCTCTCTCTATAATTAATCTATGGTTACTCAATTGACTTTTTTGTTAGTCATCATCATTTCAAAATTTTCCAGTTTGTCCAGACTTTTTGCTATTCCCAGAAATTAAAAAAATCTTTGTATTTTTAATCATTGATAATATATTATTTTTATTATGGTCCTAACCAGAACAGAAAAAGTCTGAACCAGATTTGCTAATCATTTTACCAACCGGAAAAAACCCAGAGATGTTTATAATTATGTATGGTTTATTAGTCAAACTTTCAGTTAAGACAGAAACTCTATGGAATTTTCATAGAAAGGAACACTGTTTGGGAACCATAGTCCAAGTCTTATATGGACCACATTCATTTTATGTACAAACCATTTCAGATTATGATTTTAGGCTGTAGTAATGTAATTATATACAGTCAAACCTCATTATCTCGAACTCAAAGGGACCGAGAAAATACTTTGAGATAACTGAGGATTTGAGATATCCAGGGTAAAATATTGAAAGAATAAGTAGTTGGGACTTGGAAATGACTTTGACATATCCATGGCATTTGAGATATCTGTGTTTGAGATACCAAAGTTCAATTGTATATATATATATATATATATATATATATATATATATATATATATATATATATATATATATATATATACGTTTACATGTATATATATGGAGAACTTGACTTCTATGACAGAGTTTTATTATTTTATTATCAAATGTATGACCTTATGATGTATCATGGCATTATCTTTCTACACTCCACACATCCTTGAAAAAAAATGTATTATTGTATTCAAAAGGAAGTGTGACAAAAATCAACATTACTGTTTCCTGATCACTTGTGATTTCAGAGGGAAATTAAAGGATTAGTGTGTGTACACAATAGGCCTGACTCAAGAATTTCACATTGTGATGCATCATACGAAGTTATTTTATAATTATATAGGTCTGAAATTGCAATTTTCATTAACAATCAAGATAATCGAAATACAACTTTGCATGATGGTCAGTACCTGTTTAGGCTAAGAATTTTAATGATCAATAAACTTTAGTCATATTCGTGTAAGGAAAAGATTTCAGTGCCAATAATTATCGGTATAGGAAGTGGATGTTCAATTTTGATTTTTTATTTGACACTTTATAGTTAACTCAAATGTAAGTTAATTACATATCTCAATAAAGTTATTGCCCTTGACAAATACTGTATTTATAATCTTAAATCCTTTTTACTACCGGTAAATGCATATTGAATTTCATCCATCAGTTGCCAAACCAATGTCATGTTAACAGATGAAGAGCACAGAGAAAGATGATAATTTTTTTTTTTTTTTGGTGAAACAGATTTTTTCTAAAATAATTGGAGAGTTTCCAGAATGTGGTAATATTTGATAAAAGGTATCGTTGGGAGTCGTGCTACTAGTTGAAGTGGTTAGGTTAAAGTGAACGAGCCTCTTCCTGTGTGAGATCTGTTGATAAAGATGGGGACAGGCTATTCTGCCGAGGCTGTAGGTATATTTTGTAAGTTTTCGTTTTTGTTCTGATTTGAGGGATCACATTAAGGAGATTGTGGGGAGTTGTACAGGTTATATATAATGTTTTTGTCATAGGGAAGTTGTTCTTACATCTGAAGTTTTTAATTTTTAGAGAAAATGCTCCAGTAGAGTAATTATCACAAATACTTCTCACTACATTGACCAATGTGTGCAGAATACTAGTACACTTTAAGAGTGTTTGATGTTGTACATAAGTTTGAGTACCTAAGAAGTTGTGTGTTATTTGCATATTTTTTTGAAAATTTTATTTCTGTACCAGTCACTTACCTGACCAATAAAGAATGCTTGTTTGCTTCTGAATTCTCATTGTGTTGTAAAAGATTGAATTGAATCCATCTTTTATCATTGTCTATAGCTATAAAAATAGAAGGCTTCAGAAATCGTTCATGGAATGCAGCTGTTTTTAGTTTTCACCAATGTTTCCACAGTTTTAAACCTGAGACAATGTTTAACATGCAGTGATGGTGTACTGTGTGGTTTTCTCCCTGATGTGTGGGGGTTTGTTTATTTTTCCATTCTGTGGACACACTGATGGGGATAGTGGCATATGGCATTCATATGTGATTATGATTATGAGTCATAAATTGTGTTTGAAGGACCTTACACTATACACTATTGAAAAATATTCTTTGCACCTTGACAAAATGATATCTTATAAAAATGTAAATATTGCATTTCTCCATTTCATTTTCAAAAAAGGGTATATACCCCCCCCCCCCCCCCATCCCCATGAACAGTGAAGCATTGAAGCAATGAAGCATTGATGGATGGAAATCAATTTTGCATATTTAGTATTGATGAACAGATTATCATTGCTTACTTAATGAGAAAAATACATGCAAATGAATTGTTCAATTAATTTATCATGGCTTAATGAAATGTTGAGAATGCTTGAATTGATTACAAATTGAGTAATACAATGTACACTGTGAACTTTTAGATCAAAGGGCAAATAACTGAGATCTCTTAATTGTGCAGTGTGACATTCGTTGCACACATCAATCCAGTTTTAAAAAAAAATGAAGAGGTAGTAAACAGAGAATTACTTTTTGCATTAAATGAGCAGGGCTATTTTGATGCTGTTACCAATGGTTGTAAAGCACATTATTCTGTAGTATAAAAGTGTTGACAGTTGGACAACACTGTGTTTATTTTAGGGCACATGCTTCATTAACTCACCTGAGCTGTAAGCTCAACTGAGCTTTTCTGATCACCCATTATCTGGCATCCATCTGTCTGTATAATGTAAACATTTTCAATTACTTCTCATGAATCACTTGGCCAATTTAATCCAAATTTCACACAGATTATCTATGGACAACAGTGATTCTGAATTATTCAAATGAAGGGCATCCTCCCTTGAATGGGGAGATAATTAAGAAAAGGTAAAAATAGGATAAAGTCATTATAAAATCTTCTTCTCCAAAACCATTGGGCAAGAAAAGATAAAACTTATGTGATAGCTTTCTGACATTGTGCTGATAATAAGTGTTAAAAGCATAACCCCAGGGGATAGGGTGAGGACACAATAGGGAATCAAAGTTTTACATGTGAATATATCAGGAACATGCAGACATTAACTTTCAGTTTCACTTGCCCTTGGGCAAGTATAATCTCAAACTTTGACTTGTCCAAATGCAAAACTTGGTTGCCCAAATTTAAGAAAGCAAAATTAACTTTATTTATCGCTGCATATGTTTATATGATAAGAAAAAATGTGACCAAATAGACATCTGTCTATTTGGCAAGTAGAGCTAAAAGAAATAAAAACTGATGCTACATTGTCCTTGTCAATTTAACTTGGAAACACAGGTTTACTTTGTTTGGAATGAAGCGGAGTCAGCCGAGGAATGCCACTTAAGTACCTGGCAGAAATCAAGGGTACAATTAATTGTTTTATTTATAAACTAGTGTAAACTAAATATTTATAACAATATACAGTGAAACTTATCTAATCCGGACGTTGTGTAATCAAAAATCGTGTTTAATACCATGTACACTTTAAATCCCTTGCAGTAAATTCATTTGTTTTAAATGTTGTCTAATCCGGAATGTTGCCTAATGAGGCCAATTTCTTTGGAAGCAGTGGTGTCCGGATTAGACAAGTTTTACTGTACATTTTTATCCGAAAAATTCACTTGCTCGATCTGACAGGTACGTTGACAGTTTCACTTGCCTGAATTAAGAATTTACTTGCCCTGGGCAATTGGGACAGCCGATAATGTCGATTTCCTGCATATGTAGCAAAATATCATTTTAGAAAATTTCCTCTCTAGAACCACTGGACCAGAAAAATAAAATGTATATGATAACTTTGAGATGTAGTGTACATTCTAAAATGTTCAAATCTTAGTCCCTGGAATATTTAAGAAAAAAGTGATAAAATATCCTCTTCTCCAGAACTCCATTGGGCAAGTGAAGGAAAAACTAAATGAAAGCTTCTTGACTTAGTGTAAATTGTTCAGATCATAGCCCCTGGGAATAGGGTTGGGCCACAGTAGGGTATCCATGGTCATCCTATTTCTCTTGTTTTTGAGCATATGTATTTGATTTAATCATATATAATTATTAAATAGCAGTTCTGTGGATCCTTTACAGGGTTGTATGATACTCAGATGATCATAAAGGCCCTTGGGTTTCTTGTAGGTTTACATCCATAAAATGGTCCTCCTCATGAGGGGTCTATTTTATGCATTTTATTTCTTATCCTTGTTGTATTTTTGGGGGGTGGATCTCATTTCTGACAACTACTTCCTTCAATCCTACTTCCTTGTACTCGATATGGCAATGGCAAATCTCCATAGACTTTAAAAATGGTAACATACCGGTTTGTTTCATGTTGTCTTTTACACTCTTTGTTAAATACGACTTGTGATACTTTGGAAGTTAAGAAATTTTATTGTTTTTGATAGTTTCTTTGAAGAAAAGTCAAAATTTGTTTGCTATCTCCATGCAGTGAAATAGCTCTTAAGGGACAGACTATACTAAACCACTTCAAACATGCACATGACAATATAACACATCTAGAATATGTTTGGTACAAATTAAAGTTATATAGTTATTTTTTTCTCAGTGCACATCAAAGGAAATCCATATCATATGAATTCACTCTTATAGCAAAGTGAATATCATTCCCTGTGGTTTTAAAACATATCATGAACGAAATGGATATAACAAATTTACATTAATAACGAATCAAAATTAGTCATCCCTGGCACTTCCATATTAGCATGTTCTACTTTACATCCATGTAAATATTTTTTCAGAATTACTGCATCAATTTGCAAATTTTACATGCATGCATGCATGTGTGCGCGGGCACACACAACACATAGAGACATTTTAAACAGTTAAATACTATTGAACATCATTGCATGATAACTGTAGCAGGTATTTTATGTCAGTATCAAAGTTTGAAAGAGAGGTATGATATCCATTTAACTTCAGGTTGGATTGATTGATTGATTGTATGTCATGTATATTGCTTAATACCAAGTCAGTAGTATTTCAGCCATATTTCTGCTGCTGTATAAAGTCTTCCAAAGTGAACAGTCTTATCTTACTGCACAATGAATATAAACATGTGTTTGAAGAGTGTTCATTTTATATTTGGTATCTGTATTCATATGCTTATGTATTTTATGATTGTAGACATTCCGTCCCAAAAAAAGATTTGAACCAGGGACCATGAAGTTTAATTTACACAAACAGGCAAATGCTTCACTGAACTCTGGGATTGACCTAAAGGAAGTGGTCAAACTGCCTCCTGGGGAGGACATGAATGACTGGATTGCTGTTCATGGTTAGTAGTAAACTGAAATCAAATCTTAAGAAGTGAATACAAGTGACAAATGGGATAGTCCAAACAAATTTTTAAACAAGACTGATAGTTTATACAATTTTTAACAGGTCTAAAAAATTTCCTGAAAGGGAAGTCAAGAACAACAACCAAAAATTGACTGTTCCAAGTGTTCCCCAATGCACCCTTAACTTCCTTTGGTTCCCCATTTCCTATTAGCTAGCCTATAAAATAAGTTATTTTTGTGTAGAGTTTCAGTCAATCCGATTGTAGCACATGTTACTGCATTTGTTTTCAAGAATTTTCATATATTATATTGCATTGTAGATCCTCATAAAATATACAGCTTACTCTACTTATATTGAAATCACTTATTTTGAAAAATTGCTTATTTGAAGTAAAACCAAATCCCCAGTCTCAGTTTTTTATCATCTTTGCAATAAAATATTCATTATATTGGTTAAATTGAAATTGCTTTTATTAAATTATCAATTATTTTGAAGTAAATTATCAGTCCGCTGAGCTGATAATGAGTTGCTTTTATAACGGTTATATTGAAGTCCTCCTGTCCATTCGTTATCTGGCTTGGTGACATCCTAATTATACAGGTAGATGCTAAGGTGTCAGTAGATATATTTTACCTATTATATTTTCATTGCATGTTTTTATAATAAATAAATTACTAAGGGGTATCTTGTTTTCACAGATCACATAATGAAGGCACTTTTGAACAGCTGTTAGAACATACGCTTGTGTAAAGGAGAAAAAAAAATTGTCTTTATACAACTAAAATGAATTTATGCCTGCCTTAGATAAAAAATGTGAAATCTAAATCCAAATTAGCAAAGGATTTTGGAATTAATCCGAGCAAATACTAGCATTAAAACTGTGCTGCTGCTTTGAAGCCTTCAGGTCCATGAAAGTCTGGCGACTTTTCCCCTCAACAATAAAAAATAAGATCAGGAAATTAATTAAACTTTGATTGGATAATGTTATACTTTTCTCAAATAAATCTTTAATGAAGGAAAATATTCATTTCACTATTCAAGTGTTGTAAATTAAGCCCTGTAATATTGGTTTGGGTTTGACTACATGTTAAGCTTGGGATCAGGATTTTAAAATGTCTTTATAGGCAAATTCGCTTATTGGCCCAATCAGAGCAAATCTCACATGCATGCACTTAAGTTCATGCCATGTCATCTTGTCTAAACTATTATTATTTATTCTTACATACTTAGTTTCAAAGCATTTCATCTTAAAAAAAAAAATGACAGCTAAAGTCATTTCTGTTATATTGGTCATTTTACTCGTGGAACACACATGCACATGCACAAAATGATATTGGTTCGATATCTGCACATCTACACAGCATGCCTATTAGCTCTAAAAAGTTTTATGTCAATCGGATGAGTACTGGTACATAGGTTCCAAAAACACTCATGGACAAAAAAGTACTTATTAAAAATAATAATAAATATAAGACACAGAGAAAAAAACAATATGTTTCCAATCTTCTTTGGTTAAAATAAAATGGTGCTTATCCTTCTTGCCAATCTGATTATGGCATTTAGGCACATCAAAAAAATAAAAGCTGGTTTAAATAATTTCTTATTTCCTTATAGCCAAGTTTGACTGTCATCTAATTTGCTGTTTACTTTTGATTACAGTAGTGGATTTCTTCAACAGAATAAACTTATTATATGGTACAGTGTGTGAATATTGTACAGAACAGACCTGTCCCACCATGAGTGGTGGACCAAAGTAAGTCAGGAGAGTAACATACCCGTGTAGTGACTGAAAATTACAGAAAACTTTTAACTTTATAAAAGATAACTGGCAGGTTTGAAAATATGTATCAAGCACTTTATTTACTTGGAATGACAGATATGTAAAACAGTTTTTATTTGTACTTAAACCTCATACAGTATAAATATATGTCACACATACACATTTTTATTTGACGTGATATTAGCATTTGTTGAAATGTGAAAGTTTCTTCATCTAAAGATCAGAATGATCATATTTATTACATTTTCAACAGTGAAATACTGTAATGTATCCATTGAATAAAAGAAATATTTTTTGAAAATCTTTTTTAAAATAAAAAACTATAGTTTTTCACTGTGAAAAAAAAGTAATATCAAGAGTGTAACAAAACTCTCCATATGAAGAATGTTATAAAGAAAACACTCCCCATTGATAGCAAGAGTAAATAAACTCATGATACAGACTAAAACTACCAAAGTTTCTCCAAATTGTTCTTAACATCCATGTATGAAATATTCAGTCTAACGACAATGTCACAGTCTGTGACACTGCATTAAAAAATGACAGAGAAAAGGAAAATCAAAGAAAATGTAATTAACCGAAAATTAAATCTTTTGTAGTTGGATTTGGAATTTAATTAGAGTGAGACAGAAAGTTTTTTTTTTTTATTTTCACTTGTGCTTTGCACTCATGAAAACATTTAAAAAATTCTTTCCCACTCATGGAATAAATTCCATATCCAATTACAAAACATCGAATATCCTCTATGTATATATAAGGGGAAGGAACAGGAGAATTTTTTTTGTGTTATGCATTTAAATTTGTTTCCTCCTTACTGCCATATAGATATGAATACCATTGGTGTGATGGCCAGACTTACAAGAAGCCTACAGCATTACCTGCCCCTAACTATATAGCATTATTGATGGAGTGGGTAGAGGCTCAGATTAATGATGAAAATATATTCCCTGTCAAAGTTGGTTAGTATATTAGCAATATGACAGTGTGTCATACTTTTTCAAAAATTTGAATAAAGTTTTAAAACAGAAATTTAATCAATATTGAAAACAATTTTGAAATACTTATGACAAATCATGTTAGTTCATTGGCTTAAAAAGCAGGGTTTGCAGTTGCAAACTGGTTAACAAATCTAAAATTGGTTGGAAAGATGGATATTGATTGCAAATCATGACCCTTGGTGGTGGAGATAGTCCAGAACTAGGGTTAACATGGGTATAAATAGTACAAAAAATCTTCTCATAAACAGCAAGGCCATGATGTCTTATTGATATGCAAGCATTCTTAGATAGTGCAGATTGAAGTTTTTTCAGATCGTGTTAAAATTTTTTTAGTGATTTTTAAAAAAAATTATTTATGGCATTTATATGCATGTACACTGAACATAGCCAGGATAGCTTTTGTGACATTTTTACAGTTATTGTGTGTCATATTTACTGTTATTATGTGTCAAACATAAATATATGTCAATAGGCAATGGTCTTTTCCTGTTATATTCTAACTGGGGACAGTTGGATTTGGCTGAAGATGTATGATTATCAATACACTGTATTTTAAAGTTGAAGATAGAAATATGAACAGTTCATCAATTAGACTACCTGGAAATGGGGAAAAAGGGGGAAAAGAAATGATTTGTTGACCAGTTTGAAGTTGTAATCCCTTCTTTATCAGTAAAATGTTTAATTGCAATATGGGCATATTTTATTATTAAGAAAATCCATGTTTAGTAATATATGTGTGTGTTAGTTGTTGAATGAATATATATATATCTGTGCATTGTTAAAAAAATGACTTGGTGTCAAGTCTCCTGAGCCAAAGGCACAGGTGAGCTTTTCTGATGGAAGAGTTTGGGATGTCAGTCCATCTGTCTGTCTACCTGTCATCTTGTGATATATGTTATCTTTAAACTTCTCACAATTCATTTCCTTCCCCAGAACCAAAGGATTAATTTCAAATATTTACATTTTCTGTGTTTTTCTACTTAACCCACAATGAAATTGATTTGAATGCCATTTTCATGTAGACTTGCATGTACATTGTAGAAATATACATGGAGAAACTTTAGCTAAAGTGACGTCACAATGAGGCTACAGAGACATTAAGAAAAATATAACAATAAAGGGCAGTGAGAAATTCAAACTTTGAGTTTATTTTTGGTGCTTTTAAACATCTAAAATGTAAATATAAGGAATGTCTTTCAAGTTTTGTGTGAATTATTGCTGAGTAAATCATACAGACTTGCAGGTAGGTGACAAGTCTATGTGATTTACAGCGTGCTTCATGAAATATGCTTACGTGACAAGTATGTGTGATTTACACATCAGTAACTCACATAAAACTTTAAAACATTCCATAATTAAACTTGACACAAAGCATTCATGAATGAATAGGTTTCAAATTTCTTCAAAAGAAGGGCCATGTTCCTTTTAATGAGGGAGGTAATATAAGAAATAGAGTGGAGTTATTGAAAAATGTGGGATTACATGTAATAAGGAAATCTGTGAAAAAACCATCCTCTGAAGAACAATGGCTATATTGATATATTGATATTTCTTGATATGCAAGCATTACTATGTAGTGTAGATTCAAGTAATGACTTCAGAAAGTAGGATAGGGCCAAAATAGATGATAAAAGTTTTCAGTAATTTAGGAAAATATATAGGAAAAAATCTTTTTATAACTTTTCCTCTCAAGAAAAGCACAGGCAATATGAGTCAAACCAGTAGGGATTCCTCCTCATGAAGACTACATTCGTGTTTCAAATTATAACTCATGAATATGGCTGAGGCATATAGTTTGTCATCTCCCATCAGACCATCCTTCACACTTTAGACAGTCTCAAACAAATTTTTCAAGATATTTTTATCAGAATTCATACTGTGATGCATATTGATGAGAGCTATTCAACTAAATCATAATTGTCCCTTGGACTAAGGTGGGGCCACAATAAGGGTTCAAAGTTTACATTGAAATACATACAGTTCTGCAAGTTCAACAAGGCTCCATTTTATAAAAACCTCAAGCCTGTATATATACTTTTTAATAGCTAATATTATGAAAGTCCTGACCTTATGGCTTAACTAAGAGGTTTCATTTAATTATGTATTTATTTGTGACTCGGGTGAGCTTTGTGGCATATGAACCTCTTGTTGCATGTAGTTCCCTTAGATATTGATAGATAATCTGTTACTGTATTATGAATATATATGTATTTAGCCAGTAACAAATCATAATGTATGTTAGAGTTACTGTTACAGTTATTATAAATCACATTTTAGTCACAAAAATTTCATTTTTTGATGCTCTTTTATTTTTAAGCAAAAATTTTCTTAGTGGAAATGAGAAGTTATTATCGTAACTATAAATACACAATGTTACAGGAATATGGCAATATTAAGTCTTTAAAATAGATTTGCTATTGCATCAGAAAATGAAAGTGATAATATGGAACGTGAATGATTTACAGCATACAATCTGAAAGATTACATGGATGTGCATAATTCATTTTTCAGTGTACCATTACAGTGTAGCTATCTAAGACATATAACGAAGAATTTTGTTGCATTAAACATAAAGGAAGGCATATCTAGCCATTGTATTTAGGCAGTTATGTTCATTAATTAAATTGTATCATCATGTGGTTGAATGAACTAGCTCTCTAAAAGCTGAAGTCACCTTTTGGTGAATCAACCTTCGATTTTTTCTTAATTGGACCAAAATAAAGAGAACTTCCAAACTGATAAAAATTTTTAGCCAGTAAGAAATTATACACCTTTCTCTGTGTTCTTCTAGAAGTTTAGCGAATGTAAATGACAAAGAAGAATGGCTAGTTTTGTTTAAATGAGTTTGTATCATTTAATTATATAATTACACAACAATTAGGGCCCCGCTCTGCGGGCGCCCTATAGTGATCAGTCTGTCCATCCGTCCGTCCGAGATCTCTTGTCCGGAGCATATCTTCTCTCTTCTTGGCCCAATCTGGCTCATACTTCACCCACAGAGTGTCTTTGGGTAAAGGGTGTGCAGTGACCTTGAACCATGTTTCTAGGTCTAAGGTCAAGGTCATAGCAGAATTATATGAAAAATCCTTGTCCGGAGCATATCTTCTCTTCTCTTGGTCCAATGTGGCTCATACTTCAACCACATAGTGCCACTGGTCAATGGATGTGCAGTGACCTTGAACAACATTTCTAGGTCAAGGGTCAAGGCCAAAAATAGCCTCTCTGTTTAAATTCTTGTCTGGAGCATATCTCCTTTCTCCTTGGCCCAATCCGGCTCATACTTCACCCACAGAGTGTCTTTGGGAAAAGGTCATGCAGTGACCTTAAACCATGTTTCTAGGTCTAAGGTCAAGGTCATAGCAGAATTGTATGAAAAATCCTTGTCCAGAGCATATCTTCTCTCCTCTTGGTCCAATGTGGCTCATACTTCAATCACAGAGTGCCACTTGTCAATGGATGTGCAGTGACCTTGAACAAAGTTTCTAGATCAAGGGTCAAGGTCAAAAATAGCCTCTCTGTTTTAATTCTTGTCTGGAGCATATCTCCTTTCTCCTTGGCCCAATCCGGCTCATACTTCACCCACAGAGTGTCTTTGGGAAAAGGTTGTGCAGTGACGTTGAACCATGTTTCTAGGTCTAAGGTCAAGGTCATAGCAGAATTATATGAAAAATCCTTGTCCGGAGCATATCTTCTCTCCTCTTGGTCCAATTTGGCTCATACCTCACTCACAGAGTGCCACTGGTCAATGGATGTGCAGTGACCTTGAACGAAGTTTCTAGGTCAAGGGTCAAGGTCAAAAATAGCCTCTCTGTTTAAAATCTTTGTTCGATGCATAATTTCTTTCTTGAGAGTCCAGTCAGCCTCAAACTTTACCAATTGACTTAGGGTACGGAACATTTGTGATTTTCCTTCCATATTTTTATAGAGGATATGCAACATTTTTCATAGAGGATATGCAACATTCGTGATTTTTGTGACGCTTTTTGATAGAGGGTATGGAGCACTCGTGATTTTCGTGCCATTTTCTATTATTACAAGGATGATATAGAAGCCCTTTAGACTCAAACAACACATCCCTTTAATAGTACACAAATGTTCCTCTTCAAAATAAACCCTTTTCAGCTACCTTACATTTTCATGTTCATTGCTGAAAGCGGGGCCCTTTGGGATGGCCACCATCTCAATGATATCTAGTTACTGGGTGTTTTTTGTCAATGCAATGATTTAGCTAGCTGCAATAATGTAACCCTTTTCTTTGGGGGGGGGGGGGATGCTGCTTATGATCTCCATAATGGTGCAGGTACGGAATTATTCAGCTCCCACAAAGATTTTGGTTCAGATGTAAATAAGTGACTTTTTTGTTTTCATTTTGCACCTGAACCCAAAAAATCTAGTAATCTAAGAAATAAATTGATCCAAAATGTAAAGATTAGTCCACATATTGGTTAATTTTCATGTATGTCATCATCTTTGGCAACTCTGGCAGTACTATATTCACCCTGCACTTTGTGAATATTGTACTCCTTGTAATCATCAACAACAGTAATTGTTCTACAGTGTATTTACAAATCAAATTACATATTACCACAATGTGATGCAGGTGTGCCATTTCCAAAGCCATTTTTACCAACTGTAAAGAAAGTATTGTCACGTCTGTTTCGAGTGTTTGTGCATGTGTACATCCACCATTTTGACAAGCTGGTGTCTCTAGGAGCTGTGAGTAGATTGGCTATTGCCAGCAACAGTGTAGTCATAGCAGCCAGGGGAAAGATGTCCATGTAACATTAGTCATTTGTTCTAGATGTTTATGTTTGAGAAAATACATGTGTAACACAGATAACATTGAATACATGTGTAATTCATCGGTAATGATAATCAAAGATTCATGATCATAATTTAATTGATGATCAGATGACCCATGCTTGTGGACATTTTTTTCTATATGCTATGCACATTGTTAGCAGACAAGGAACATCACAGAGTGTATTGCTTTTCCATTGCTGCTTTTAGTTAAACTGATAACAAAACTACAAATGATGTGGGGATGTTTATAGATAATGCAATACATTTCCACATGATTTGAGTCCCAATAATCTTTTGTTCCCTGACACTCTTATGCATGTGTGCATGATCAGTCTTAACACTTAACCTCATTCACAGCTACAGCACGTGTACTCTGCACCTGATCTTGCTATACTGTTTAGGATTAAGCTAGGTAGACTTGGGTGTTGCTAGAGTCAAATGTGGATCAAATCAAAGATTTTTTTTCAAATTTTTGTAGGTGTACCTTTCCCTAAAAACTATCAACAAATAGTCAAGAAGATTCTGACTCGTCTCTTTAGGGTTTTTGTTCATGTTTATATCCACCATTTTGACAAGTTGGTAGCCCTTAGCGCCGTAAGTATTAAAGTTGAAGACAAATATACTTGCATTTTGATGTGAGATATGTTAGTTTAATTTATGTATCTCGGTTAAGATAGTCAACTTTATATCAAACAGCATTTTATCATCATCATCATATATACATTAAATATATTTTCCCTCGGATTGAAATGTCCTGCTTTCATTGGTTTAAGTGCGACATGTGACTGCAGGTTAAATATCTATGTCTGACAGGTAAGTACGAATATTTGGAGATATTGCTGGCGCATTGACTATTCAATTCAATATTAGAAATCATTAAAGAAACAACTTTTTGAAATTAAAGTAGCAGTCCTTTTATTTGTTGTGTCTGTGTCACAAGTGATGGTAGCATTTAGATTCGCTCAATCAAGAGAGGAAAAAATTAAACAGAAACAATTAGAAGTAAACAAGGTGCCTCAAAAATTTTTGATAACTTAATGATAAAAGGTGAGATTGATGATTTTGAAGAGTTTGACTGTTGAATGAGAGTTGAGATGTTGGAACTCTTAACAGATTCAATAATCTTGATCATTTCTTCTGTCAATGTCTTTCACACTATGATCCTCAAGAAAATAAACCACTTACTAGGTTCGTTACCAACCGTCTACAGAAATATATCAGGTTGATCAATCTCAGAGAGGGTAAGGCAAAGCCTAGCCATCTGTAGACAGTTGGTAACAAGGCTAATAACTAAAGTAATAATAATACTCAGTTATTCATTTTATGATACTTTTTGGTTGAGTCAACATCAGATTTATTTTTAGTCCTATAGATGTACATATTTGGTAGCAGCATTTCACAGCAGTACTGATGATTTAGTTGATTACTAATCTTGTGCATTCTTTGAGCAGTATATATAGGTACTGGTTGGTTGAGTTACTCCTTTTTGCTTTATCAGTAGTTTTATATTTATCATTTCAATGTTTGGGCACTTCTAGAGCTACATGGCCATGATGTAATAAAATGAATATAAAATACAGGGTTCATATAGCCAAGGATGATTTTCTGGAGGACCACCGAAATATAATAAAACAGATCTAAAATCCCTCTTTCATAGCCACAGCATGAAATTGAGTAACACATTTTTTTTCATTTTCCAACTTTTACACTTCAATAAGGTTCAGTTGCTCTAGAGTCAATAGAATGATTTTTCAGTACTGTATAGGGGATTAATTCCAGGAGTTGCAATTTTCATGTTTTTCCCTCTTCTGACATGATCACGTTTTCATGAATATATAATTCCTGGAATTGGTAAAAAATAAGTAATCTCCCTTTGTTTGACATTTAAACATTGTCTAGCAAGAACAACAATTCTGTATTTTTAAAAGAATGTTTTACAAATGATAACAGTGACTGTCAGCATTCATCATAAGGTATACTTAAAGAGTTTAAAACAAGTGTTCAAATCAACAGGTCTCGCTAAAATTTCCACTCATACGGTATGAAGAGATTGAATTTGTTTAGCGTAGATTAGAGTGTTAGGAAAAAGACCACATTTGAAAAACGAAGAAAGTTTAGAACACATAATTGAATTTATTGATTTTGTGCAAATCTCTGGCCATTCTATGGTAACACATCCTTAGCTATATGAACCTTAAATTAATATGTTTAGGCTGTCTTTGAAAAAAAAAGTTTTCAATATCCTTTTTATTATGCTATGGTTGTCAAAAGGAACAAGTGTGTGTGTGTGTGTAAATATATATATATATATGGCAGGAAGGTGATAATAAATATACTAGTATAATATTCAGGTATAGTACTATTAGCAAGCCTTAACATTTATAAATAGTGCTTTTGGTTTCAAAAGGAAATTACTGATGATTTAACCATAAATTTTAATGTAGTAAGAAAAAAAAATTGTTTTGCCTTAGATATCTTTAGGTGTATTTAAGCAATGGCTTCATATATGATCAAGTAAAAGGTCAAGTTATTACAAACAGTTCATATATATAAAGCTAAACAAGTCAAAGATCAAGTAAATACCTATAAGTTTAAAAAATTGAGTTCAAATATATAATTTAATTTAATTTTTTGTTAATTTAACATAAGAGCATACTCTGAATATGATCAATATTTAAGCTGAGACAAGCTACTCACAAATAAGTTGATGTTACAGGGATTTCAAAAACCTCAGTTTAAAGTCATCATATTGTACATTTTATGGTCTTTATGACCTTGTTAGCAAATACAACTTAACATTTGGTTGTATTTTATACTGATATATTTCATACTAATTTTAGACCTTTGTTTTTATACCTTATTTGATTATGTAAGGATTATTCCATTCTACCTGATCAATACAAGGGGCTCACGGCGGGTGTGACTGGTCGACAGGATGCTTACTCTTCCTAGGCACCTGATCCCACCTCAGGAATTTCTTGGGGTCCGTGTTTTATGCCCTGTTCACAGATCTGTTTGTAGGTTTTAAGAGATCAATCACTGTCCATTATCTTCACCTATTTAGGCTTAAAATTTTCACATAATAATGAGCATGTCTGTCTGGTTTTTCATGCACTAAATCGATCTAAGTTACTTCTTTTTCTTTTTGAGGCACATCTCTATGAAGCCTCATTGCATCCTGTTCTACTAATCATTGTTATGTAACTCTACAAAGTTTATGCCATTGAAAATAGTGTAAATCATTTATGAGATCATGTATTCTGCTGTACTCACCTGTTTGTAATACAGTAGTTCAATATAAAGGAATATTACATAATAGTCATGCAATTAGTTAAAAACAAAAGCAAAAAACATTGTGCTTTATGAAATCAGAAGTTCATTTTTGATAAAATGGTTATTTTATGCAAAATTTTTGAATGATAAATGTTTATGAAAAAAATTTTACAATTTCTGCTTTATACAGAATGAAATTAGGGCTGAGTAAAATTAATTGCCAATCTCAGTAATTTAGATATTATACCAAAGAAACTAGAAATGTCATTTATTTAGGCCTGAACTGTAAGTAATTTGAATACTGGTAGCTTTTAAAATGTGTGTAAAGCAGGAAAATGAGAAACATGCCCTTCCATGAAAGAAAAATTGACTAAAAAACCTTTGTAAAAGGGTGAATTTTTTTTCATTTATGTATGCCTGTCTTAAGACGAGACATAATATGGTATGGCATTAATGTCCCTCTGTCTGTCTGTCAGCTTTTTCTTGTCCAGCTCATAACTTAAATGCTATGAGACCTAGAGTAATCCAACTTTGTCAGCTGATACATCTTGGGTAGAAGGTGTGTTGCACGGTAAAATTGGTTTGCTGTAACCTTTAATTAAGATATGAACAAACATGGCAGAATTCTGTCTGGCTCATAACGGAAAACTATTAGTTCTAGAATCATCACACTTGGTCAATTAATGCATCATAAGTAGTGTCACACCCTACATAAAGGTTACTGTGACCTTTAATTAAGGTGAAATTAAAAAAAACTTAAGTTTTAAAGTTACACAAGCCCTACAGATGTAGGAGTATTGCATTAACCTTATTGAATGTTAATCAAGAAATTGATATACATTTTTTTCATGATATACTATAGAGCTAAATATAAAATACAGGTAAATATCAGTATCTCGAACATGGGATATCTCGAATACCCCGCTTATGTCAAAGTCGATCACCGGTCTCGGTCGTGTTCTCTATATAAATGATTTAAAAAAACTTCTGATATCTCAAACACGATAATCTCGAATACCCCGCTTATGTCAAAGTATATTCAAGGTCCCAAGTCCTAATTTTACTTTGCTTATGTCGAAGTGAAGTGAATTTTCTGGTCTAGTGAACTTGCCTGCCTGTCGTGACTTCACACATTCTCGCCAGTGGCTATTAATTAACACCTTCTAAACCTGGCATATCTTAATCAATCCCAAGCTCATGCCGGGTATCAATGACACGGTAATTGGTATGACAGCTTGGGTGTTTGTTGTAATCTACGACCGATAAAATAAACCACTTCACAGCCATTCAGAAATTAATACAGACAGTATTACCGTCAATACATTTAATTATACACTCTATATGATTAACATCGTGAATTCATAACGCACAAAGATTTTTCAAAATAAACTTGAATTAAACAGTTATGAATTAAGTTGTAGTGCGTAATGCGCAGTGATGTGATTGATTGTGCGATTGCTTTCAGGTTTATCTTAGTGCTACATAGATAACCATGATAGCCATTTGCCGTTTTCATTGTTTATTTCGTAAAATTTATGTTTTATAGTAGTTCTGCATAATGTAATAAGCTGTTAATAAATTACACATAAACAGTATAAATACTGATTAATTTTTGTATCTTTAATTCTCATTGGGTCGGACAGCATCAAGGACAACGTCCCGATTCCAACTCTCCGAATGTTAACAGAATATTGTTTTACAGACAAGATTGATAATTGACAAACTTGAGTAATATATGACATGAGTTATTTGATTTACAAGTAGAGTTAAAGATTATATTTTTAAATAAACAACAATTTAGTCACTCAAAGCACAGTCCATCTGGTCATATCGCTCATGGCTAATTAACACAATTAAATATTTTATAATAGATAGATCTGGCAGATTGAAGCGATTATGACAACTCATTAATTAATAACAAATATGTAAAATTTTGACAGAAAAAGTATTCAAAGTGATTGTCAAAATGTCCAAAGGTACATTTTCATCTGTGACAGTAGTGCTAGATAACACTGCGTACTGAATTTCATTAAATAATATTTTAAAACTTCGTCTTTTTTCTTTTCTTATGTAAAAGGTTCTTCAACTATAACACTAATGATACATCCCGTTTTAGCTTGAAAGAACACAGCCTGGATAATGCAGTCGCTGTATTTTGGATAAATGCAATAAATTGTTTTATGATTATATTATGATTTTACACCATAAAGAGAACAACAACATTGTTTTTCTTAAAATTTATTGGTTGAGTCTTAACAAAAAAGACTACATGATTGGTAATTCATGTGTTATGCATGAAAAGATGCAGTCAAACCTCGTTATCTCGAACTTGATGGGACCAAGAAAAAAACTTCGAGATATCCAAGGATCGAGATAGCAGGGGTAAAATACTTAAACAATAAGTGGTTTTGGACTTCTAAATCACTCCGATATATCCATGGTATTCGAGATATCAATGTTCAAGATACTGAAGTTCAACTGTATATACGAACATATGGGAAGTTACCAATTCGAAATGGGAAGACAACTTCGGATATCTCGAACTCCCAGATATCTCAAAGTTTTGTCCGAGTCATTTATGGCCCATGGGCTTTACTGGTAATTTGAATTGACAAGGAGAATATTTATCTACATGCTCAAATTTATGTGTCCGGAAAGAATGATGACTTTAAGTATTTATGTGGGCTCTTTGTTTTTCTTTTTTAATGTGATTATATGCTTTTTATTTTTCAGGAAGCTCATGTGAACACATGTTACAAACACTTCTATTACTTTGTAACAGAATATAACCTTGTTGACAAAAAAGAATTAGAACCTTTGGTGAGTTTCTTTTTTCTTTTGTGAAGTTTTTCTAAAGGTTATTTGGCAAAAATACCATGTATGTATTTGAATAATTTTCAGTATATGTTTGCAAGGCTCAGAAACTCAACTTGTTTATTTTTGTTTGTAGAGAGATATGACAGCCAAAATTTGCCACTGACCAAACAGAAGGATTTATAGCTGATGCAGTTTCTTAGTGCAGAATATTCAACAGTGCATAAGATAACAGAAGTTGTTTATAAAGTTTACAAAACATTTGAAATTTTATCCTTTCTTTTTAATACCTTCTCCTCAGGGAGGGCAGGTGAAAGTTGTCCATATATATATATATATATATATATATATATATATATATATATATATATATATATATATATATATATATATATATATATATATATATATATATATTGAAAGTTTCAAAGAAAATATTGGTTTTTCCATTATATAAACAGAGGTAAAATAATATTGACAAAAATATTGTTAATATGTATTTTTAATCAAGAAGCAGACAAGTGTTTGGGTTTTTGGAATTTTGTTTATGAAGGATTGTTTTTGTGTAATTGATTTTAATGGTTTGCAAAAAGTATTTTTGTACAAGTTTTAACATTCTTTTTTAATCATTAATGCATCATTCATCACCTGTTTTCTTAAGATTATTTGCCTACTGAACCAGAGGTTCAAGTGAGCATTTTTGATTGATGATTGTCCAGCGTGTACATGTCTGTATATATGTATATGTATGTTTTTAAATTTCCTTCTCTTCTTAAGAACCACATGGTCAATTTCAAGTAATCTTGCCACAGAGAAATCTTTGTCTGAGAAGAATACATATTTCTGGAAAAAAGTGTTGTCACGAGACAATTGGCCAGAAAAGAGAACACTTGTGTGAATACATGTGCTACCTAAATGAGTGCAGATTCAAATTTGTTTAAATCATGGCAATTGGAGGCTAGGATGGGCTTCAAAAGGGGTCAAAGTTTTGCATGGAATATTAATTTTATAGGGGAAAAAACACTCAAGAACATCAGGACCACAATTATATACATGCTAGAATGGGGCCGTAATAGGGGGTCAAAGTCATGGTAGGTAAATCTGTGTAAAAAAAAAATGTTCTTAAGAGCAGCAGGAGTCTAGTCTTTTTAAACATTTGAACAAGCATTTTTCATGCAATGTAGAATCAGTTTTGATCAAGTTTTTTGGGCTAGGATGGAGCCACAGTAGGGAGTCAGAGTCATCTTCTCAAGAACAATAGGACTGCAAGTGGCATTGATATGCAAAGAATATGCAAGAAGTGTAGATCTAAGTTTGCTAAATCCTGACCCCCATTGTTAGGGTTGGCCCACAATAGAGGGTCAATTTCACATTTTTGTGTATAGGATTATAAAACCCATAATTTACTAGCAGACTACAAAACTATTTTCATGTAGTATAGAATCAAATTTGATCAAAGTATCATACCACAAACTAACTTTGGGGGAGTATACAGGAATCACCTTGTCCATCTGCCTGTCTGTCCGTCTGTTGGTGCAATCCTGTGTAATCTGAAGCTATAACTTTGTAATGGAGAAGCTCATACAACAAAGTTTATTTATGACATAAGGGTGTGTCATGACCTTGACCCAAGGTTCATTCTGGCAAGTTCAAGGTCATTGGTAGAAAAAGTGTAAAATTCATGTCAGGTCCATAATTTTTTTTAATGGAGAAACATTAGATACCCATATTTCATTCAAAAATTACTTAATACCAGAGGTTGTGTTATTTAACCAAGGTCATTTGATAAGTTCAAGGTCACATTTACAAAATTGTGAATGGGCACATTGAAAAATTGTATAAAAGGTATTATTTTGTGAGCTTGCTCACAGTACCTCTAGTTGCCCTAGGTGCTAAAATGGGGTTCAATAGGAGGTCAAAGTTTTATATTGGATTAAGAAAAACTCTGTAAAAGGCTTACTATAGAGAATAGCAAGTCAAATCGGTTTTAACACATTTTCATGTATTGTAGATACCAGTTTGTTTAAGTCATGGCTCTTGGCTGAGTACTAAGCCACAAAAAGGGTCCAGATTTTTCATGATAATACTGCTAATAAGAAAAATCTTTAAATATCATCTTCTGAAGAGAGAGGACAACATTTACGTGTATAACCATCCTCATGTAGTGTAGATATAAATTTGTTTTGATCATGGCCTCATGGACAAAGGTGGTGCCACAACTTGAGAACAAAGTTTTATACAGAAATGTATGGAACAGTAAGAAAGCTATTGTTTGTAAAGTTGACATCAAGCCTCAATATGCTGTAAATTAATTTGTTGAAATCAAGGACTTATATTTGGAAATGACAGTACGACATTTAGTCCATGTACAAATTCATTTTTCAAGAAAAGGGTGTTGACTCATTTGAGCATTGTGGCCCATGGACCTCTTGTATTGTACCCTTGCCAACCACTGAGATTGTTATTTATAAGTAAGAATTTATAATAGTTTATAAGTAAGAATTAGTAACATTACATTTTAAATTTAGTCTAATATTAGAATAAACTATAACATAAAATATTACAATTCATATTTTAATTTTTTTGTACCACTTAGTATTAGAAAGGCTTGATTATTCACTCTCTGTCAATGAAAAATCAATGCCCCCCCCCCCCACCCCTTTAAAAAAAGAGGAGGTAATATTAAGAAATGGTGAAAATCAAGTGGTGTCTTCAAAAATTTATTTCTCAGCCACAGAGAGGGTCCTAAGTTTTAAATAGAAAATATCTTTAAAATCATCTTCTCAGGGTTAGGAAATTCAGATTAACAGAAGCACATGTAAGCATCCTCATGTGGTACCAGTTCAAGTTCGTTCAAATTATAGTTCAAAGGGCTGAGATGGAGCCTCAAAGAAGGTCCAGAATTATGAGTATATGTGAGCAGGAATTATCAGAAAGTGGTTTTGTTTGGTTAAAACTGAAAATAATATTGTACTTAACTCTAATGAATAATGAATGCATGAACAATAGAAAATACAGGAAACCAAAATTCATGGAATAATTATTATTATTTTTTTTTTTTTTGTGAAGACATAAAAACCTTTTTTTTTTAAGTCAATGCTCTCTCTCTCTCTCTCTCTCTATATATATATATACAATATTCTATACATTGTACAAGTCAAGAAGTACGTGTCATTCTTGTTTGTGTGCATTGTATTGCGATGATTATGTTCTCAATATTTATATAACGTGTAGTTCTCTAGTCATTAAACATCAGATACATGTAATGCATTTATTTCTACAATATTTTAAGAAAATGATATACACATGTATATATATATATATTAAAAACATTAGCTTTAACCACTAGATATGCTGGCCAGAGTGTAGATTATTTCCCTCTAACACATACACAGACATATAAAATTCCTTCAGTGAAAATTTTTATTGAACAAGTTTGGTTAATGTATATTTTTTTCATTATTGAGGAATGTTTAGGGGAATGTATTGTTAACTGTAAGTGTCTTTTCTTTGAAGTGTCAGAATGAAAGTTAGAGTGATCTGGTATCATCTCTTTGCATCACTTCTCAATATGTCTCAAATAAAATCTTTTCTTAAAAAAAAGTATTTTGTCATTCATTTATGTATTCATATTTAAAACAAGGTGGAGGTCAACTACAGGATTATTTTGGCAGTAGTTGTTCATATTTTCAGCTCACCTCAACAAAGTCGAGATGAGCTTATGCTATACCCCCCAGTACTGGCGTCCCAGTTAAAGTTTTAGGAGAAGGTCTTATTCCCAAGTAACTATAAACCCTACCTGGACCAAAATTACATGGATCAATTATGTCATGGGATATACAGTATCTGATCATGACTTGGTTTTGATGCAGGATGTGACCTACACTTCCTGAATTAGAGGCCAGGTTTAAGTTTTTGGAGCAAGTTTGTTTTTGGAGCAATATAAAGTTTAAGGAACATTCCAAAGTAACTGAAAGCCTTATGGTTATTAAACTTGTATGGATGAAGCATATATATAGGGATGGACATAACCAGGCTTGGTTTGGATGCTGGATCTGACCCACATTTTCCAGATGAGTGAACAGATTAAAGTTTTTGGAGCAGGCTCATTTCAAAGTAATTGTAAACCCTACATGGACCAAACTTTCATAGATGATGCATTTAGGAATGCACACTTCCAGACTGGCTATGGATGCTGGACCTGAGCTACAATTTCCTGATGAGTGACCAGATTAAAGTTTTTGGAGCAGGTCCATCCTCAAGTATCTATAAGTCCTATGGTGACCAAACTTGCATTGATGTTACATCTCAGGATGCACGGTACCAGACTAACTCTGATCTACATTTTCTAGATGATTGAACAGGTTAAAAGTTTTGGAGCAGGTTCATTCCCAAATAATTGTAAACCATACCTAGACCTAAGTTGCATGGATGATGCATCTAGAGATGTACACTACCAAACTTGCTTTGGATCCTGGATAAATTGACCAAAATTTGCTGGATAAGTAAACAGGTTAAAACCCTGCCTAGACCAAACTTTCATGGATGATACATTTAGGAATGCACACTAAAAGACTTGCTTTGAATGATGGATATGACCTACATTTTCTGGATGAGTGAACAGGTCAAAGTTTTAACAGCAGGTTTATTCCCAAGTAACTGTTAGCCCTACCTATAGAAACTTGCATGGATGATGCAGCGAGGGATGCACACTACTGCACTTGCTTCAGATGCTGACAGAGACCGGGCTTTCATATTTTTAGGTCACCTGAGTAGCTCAGGTGACCATTGCTATCCCTTTTTGTTTGTCGTCGTGCATCAACATTGAACTTCTTCTATGGAATTGCTAAACCTATTTTAACCAATTTTGGCTTATAGCATCTATGGGAGAATGGAAACTAAATTTTTGAATTTTATGGTCTCTGCCTCCCTGGGGCCTAAGGGGTGGGGCTAAAACCACCAATTAGTGCAATTTTTAAAAATCTTCTTCTTTACTCCTGGACAGTCAAACTGTTGGCATGATTGTAATATGCATTGAGCCCTCTACCAAAATTGTGAAATTCATTGCCCCAGGGTCAGGGATTCTAGTGCTAGGGCAGGCTATATAGATGGTGATCCAATAGTGAAAGTTCATTATTAGTCCCCTACCGGTGAAACCGGAGGGGACTATAGGTTTCCTCTGAGTCTGTCCGTCCGTTCGTCTGTCTGTCTGTCTGTCTGTCTGTCCGCCTGTCTGTCTGTCTGTCCCTCTGTCTGTCTGTCAGTCTGTCACACTTGGT